CAACCCATGAAGACATAAACAAAATGTGGTACCTACATTTGATGGAATACTATTCAGCAATCAAAAGGAATGAATGACATGGGCAATGATATAAAACTCTAGCAAATGCAAACTAATCTTCAGTGACAGAGAGAAGATCAGTGGTTGCCTGAAGGCGAAGTTGGGAAGGGGTGGAAAGAAGAGAATAAAAAGGCCTGGGGAAACTTTTGGAGAGAATGGATATGCTCCTTACCTTGATTATAGTTTCAGTTACCTGGGTGTATGAATATAGCAAAACTTATCAATGTGCAGTTTATTACATGTCAATTATACCACAATAAAGCTGGTCAACAAAATTTTCAAAACCGAAGTCCAGGAGAGAGAAGGCGTCATGGCTTAGTGAAAGAGTCAAATCTCTCTCAGGGAGAAAGCGCTTCCTTCCTGGCTTGGCATGAGCTGACGTGTCAGCCTGTTCTTCCTGGAGACTCGACCAGCTAATTTATACTTGGAATCGCCCCTACTGCTTTGGAACTCAATGGTTTTGCTTTCCATTTGATAGTTATGTTCTGAAATGGCCAGCAAAGAATATTTAGGAAATATTAGGTCTGATGAACTGAAGGAACAATGGAAATGTAGGTGATTTTTAGGAGAAAAGAATGTGTCCCTATTTGTTAGATTTATAGGGTTTGCTACATGGTCAACTAAATTGGCCTTATTTGCACCTGTAACTCTTTTCTTAAATGTTTAGAAGAATTCATTTACTCCTTCGAAATAAATGTGTATTTACATCGCTTTAAATGAATGCATGGCATTCGTTGTATTGACAAACCGTGATTTATTTAGCTTTCTTTATTAACCTTCTTGTCAGATATTTACATTATTTCCAATGTTTTACTGTTACACATCAGAGCAGACAATTTGGTCAAGAGCAATTTGGCCAAAAGCAAATTGATTAAGCTGTCAGTGTGGTTGGGATGTTGAATTCGTGGATAATGAAAAGTTTTAGTCACTATGTTTATACAAAGAGGAGATTTTTGTGCTCCAAGGGGAAATTTTGCTTGGAATGATTTTGCAAAGTTTTATGCATCTTTCAGCAATGTCATCTATTTTTTAATGTAAAGTTTTTGTTTGTGTTCTATTTTCCTACTTTTAAATGTCTCCATATTTCCAATCAGTGATGCTCTGTTTGGGATTAAGAAGGAAACATCCTAACTAACCATCACCTATATGATGGAAACCACCTAAGTGTTGGTTATTTCATGCCTTGTGCAGAGCGCTCAAGATTTATGACATGTGCACCAGTGATTGAAAAATTCATCTTGGTTCCATTTGCTAAATAAAAACTTTCAGGAAAACATGGTTAAATAAACAGAAAAAGAATCAGTTACTAAAAAGAAAACTGATTTTTTTTAAGTGCCAATAAAGCTCCCACGCTTATCCCTAGCCAGGCTGAGAAAGGAGAATAGCATCCTCTGAGATCCAGGAAGTGGGCTCACACTCAGCCAGGCCATGTTGTTCACCTGGTGGACAGACACCATGTCACAGAACGTCAATATCAGACAAGGCCACTCTGCAACCGTGATGAAGTGAACAAAAAAACAAGGTCACTGCAACACACCAGACACCTCCCGCTCTCTGCTAACACGAGCCCTGCTGCTTCATCCATGATAGCTTTAGTCTGCCTGCCATATTGGTGGGATTTATTGTGATACCCAATCCTAGAATTGCCCCTGCTTTCCGACAGCATCCAATCCAGGGTGAGCCTGCTCCCTTCCACCTTCCCCCAAACTACCCAACTGAAGCCCCAATCCTATCCTAGTTTCCTCCTAACACCCATGGCATGCATTCCCCCTCATGGCAACCAGTGATAGACCCAACTTGCTCAACGACAGGGGTGTTCTTGGTGGTCCTGGGCTGAAAGGCATTGGCAAGATTCTTTTTTTTCAATTTGATGTTCCTTTTGTTTATTTATTTCAATAGCAAAGCCCTCTCTTTACAGGCAAACTAGACAGGCACAAAGGAGAGAGACCAACAATTAACCAACCCTCTCAGAGACAACCATTGTTGACAGATCAGTGTATGCCTTTCCTGATTTCTGTACATATATGTTACTATTTTCATCTTTATAAGTAGGACTAAATTATTCTATTTTGTAACTTGATTTTTTTTCAACCTATATCATAACGATGCTGGTTACGGTTTATGTGTTAACTTGGCTAGGCTATGGTGCCTGGTTGTTTGGTGAAACGCTAATCTAGTTGACTTTAAGTAAAAGAGGTTACCTTTAAATAATTTGGGTGGGCCGTATCCAGTCAGTTGAAGGCCTTAAGAGCAAAAACAGGTTTCCTGGAAAAGAAGGAATTTTGCCTCAAGACTTTAACATAGATATCTTGCCTCAGTTTCCAGCCTGGCAGCCTGCCCTGCAAATTCAGACTTGGCAGCCCCCACAAATCATGTGCGTTAATTCCTTAAAAAACTCTCTTTCTCTTCCTCTCTCTCTCTCTCTGCCCCCCTCTCTCAATTCTGTTTCTCTGGAGAACTCTGACCATCTTTTGATGTAAACAGAGGCGTATATTTCTGTCATACCTCTTCTGTACATACAATATACAATATGTCTACTGTACATATAATGAAAAGCATCCATGTTATGCTTCTGCCGCCATTTAAGCAACTCCCTATTGACAGACATAAAACTTGTTTCCTGCTTCTCATTATCATTAGCAGCCCAGAAGCATGTTTAATTGGCTAAAAGGGAATTAGAAATTTAAAAAGTGGAGAAAAATAAAACCCCAACATTTCTGAAAAATATTTTGTGTCTGAAGGTCCAAAGGTCATAAAGCTACCCCACCATGGATCAAAATGACCCCTCCCCGGGATTGGTTGTGTCAACCAAATTGTCATAGAAACCAAACCAACTCTTGCAACCGGTGCGTTTCCAACCAAATCAAATGAAGCCACTGTAAACAAGGCTATGACAGGGCATTCTTATAATTAAATTCTTGCACACATCCTGAAAAATAGTTCCTTAAATTCTCAGAAGTGGAATTGCTGAGTCAAGCAACCTGCACTTTTAAAGCTTGAGATCTATAATTCTCCCCTTGGGATTCGTTCCAGATCAGGTGTTTATAAGACAAAGTTTTTGAGGACCTCCTATATGCCAGGCTGGATGAGGCCTGGATACAGAGACACACAAGCTGCATCCTTGGCTTCAAGGGACTGACGGCTGAGGAGCACTTGCCTTTCTACCTAGGACAGTGACCCAACAGAAGGCACTCAAGAGATATTTGTTACTATGACCAAGGGGATAAACGAGTGAATAAATGTGTATCAGTTGGCTTTTGCTAGGTAGCAAACCACCTTGATGGCGTAAACCAACAAACAATTGTTATCTTTCATGATTCTGTGGGTCAGTGGTGGTTCCTCTTGTCTGGGCTGGCTTGACCGGTCTCTCCGGTCAGCTGCAGGCTCGGCGTGGGCTGTGTGAGCCAGCACGGCCTCTCATATCTGGAGCAGGCAGGCTGGGTGGTACTGAAGGGCCTCAGCTGGGATGGTTAGTGTCTGCTCCACGTGGCCTCTCATCCTCTAGTAGGCGAGCCCAGGCTTGTTCCCCTGGGGACTCAGGGTTCCAAAGACCAGCAAAGAGGGCATGCCCAGGCACGAGCACATTTCCAATCCCTACCTGGATCACATTTGCCATTGTCCCATCGGTCAAATGAAGTCTCCCAGCCAAGCCCAGAGTTAGTATAGATGAGTGTGAATATAGGGTGTGGGTATAGGAATGGGACATGGTGGCATTTCCTATCCGGAAAAGGAGTGCTTCTGATTCTAAGCTCACAGGCTGAGTCCATTTACCTAAATGCCTTGATTCATCGTTTCTGAAATGACACTTTGGGCCCTGAACTTTTCCACTAATGTGTGTGTAGCTCTGCCTTCAAAGAAATGACCCAACGTGTGTGGTTCTGGAGGCCATGGCTCAGAAAACCGTTTCTGGGGAGACGGAACGCGGGCCTGGAATACATGATCACCACCCTGTGTTCTGACCTTTTTCTTAACAAGTGTGGAGAATGATAACTCAGTGTTGCTGGGGCCACCAGTGACTTATTTGATCTCTCCTCACGAACACAGATAAAGTTCATCCACGACCCAGGCTCCCCATCACACAGCCCCTTGGCTCTGCGGACGTCATCTTTCCACTTGCTCAGCAGTTGCAAAGTGATTTAATGTGAAATTCCTTAGCATCAATTAAACGTTGGTCTCAGGATGGCAACAGAGAGACTGCTGGGGGAGCAAAGGGGCGCCTTTCATTAGATGAATTTGTGCAGATTTTCAAAGAACAGTTGCTGAAATGATCCTTTCACAACCACTTCTCGCCTGGAAATCGCTGCCTCCTTTTAAGCACATGTGGCATGTTGGAAACAGGAGAAAATAGTTGGTAGAAATCTCTCACATTCTTTACTTGAGAGGGCACAGAGGTTAATTTGGGAAATAGTTCTCTAATGGAAGCCAGATTTGGGGAAAGTGAGGAAACAGATTTAAAAATCACGTCTCCAGTGCGGTGGAGACGGACGCGTTTGTGATGGTGTGGGCCCCGGGACACGGCGCTGTCTGCGTCAGTTAGGCCAATAGGATGATCTTCATAGCCGCAATTTATTCTCCCTTTTGGGGCCCAGGGTTCAGGAGAGTGTTCTACGAGCTGTTTATCGTCTGGATTGTTAGGTTCTCAGAAAGCTTTTTGAGAGCATCATATGGAAAAGCATCCCCTGAAAACACAGATTCAACCTGGCTTACCTTCTAAATCTTCCCTTTTCTGTAGCCCCCAACCACACAAACACACCCCCGCCCATGTTGTCACCCCAGGAAGGGTGTAGAACAGTGCTTCTCAAATTATCTGGCGTAAAGGATCAGTCTTTTAGATTTCGAATCCACTGCAGACCACTACTTTCATAAAATACAATAAAAATAAATTAATAGAAAACTGCTTATATAAATATATAAAACAGGCATACAGAATACAAGCGCAACATCTTTATTATTAGACGGAGCCAACATCAAAGTACTCAGCTGAATTGTTATAAAGGTTTTAAAACACTTACTCTCAATTTCTACACTTAATTTGTTGCCAACTGGTACCCACTGGGTGGACCACACTGCACACAGCTCTGATGTAGAACCCCATTTCAGCAATGGACTAGAGGCCCAACAAGCATCCATTCGTTCATTCATTCATTCATCTGTCCTGCACACATTTATGGAGCCTGTGTTCCACAGCAGGAGCTCTGTGAAACACTGCCAGTTAAAGGAAAGACAAGGAGCCTGTCTGGTGTGGGGTGGACACAGAAGCCAGCACACCCGACTGGTGTGGGGGGCTCGGACTGGGTAGCAGAGGTTGGTGGGAAGAGCAGCTCACCCAGGTGCGAGGGGTCAGAGAAGGCTAGTCGGAGGAGGGGGCGTCTAAGCCAAGTCTAGACAGAGGAGGGAAAATTGGTTCAGTGGAAAGAGGGTCTAGGAAGGTGAGAGGGACTGGAATGAAGAAGTCCTTTCCAGGAGGAGGGAAGGGCATTTGCAGACGTCTCGGTGTTTGAGGCAGAGCAGGTGGTTGAGTTTGCCTGGGTGTAGAGGTGGAGAAGGGGAGACAGGAGGCTGGAGGCGGGGGGCGGTGTGGTGGAGGGTGGGAAGCAGTGGAGGGCCCAAGGCTATGCCAAGGAGAAAGGCTTCATCCTGAGGAGCAGAGGGAGCGCTGGGGGCTCAAGCACAGAAGCCCAGGAGCAGATGTGCACTTTAGGAGGCTCCCTGTGGGTGGAGAGGCCGGAGGGAGGCAAGGCTGGAGGCTGAAGACCAACCAGGGGCCGCTGCTGACACCCAGCTTGAGATGTTGGCTTGTGGGCCCACTTTGTGGAGTGGCCGTGAGTGGCGGCACACAGCCTGGAGAGACAGAGGCAGGGCCTACAGGACGAGAGGACAGGTTATTGGTAGAAGAGAGGGAAAGGAGGCTTTGAGAGGCCTGGAGCCCAGAATAATGTTGGGTGTGGGCTGCCCCGAGCTGGCCCAATGAAGGGTGGGGTGGAGGCAGCCTCCCAGTGCAGCTTTCCCACCAGCAGCCTGGTGCCATTCAGAATCCATCACGCGGCCCAGATAGAAGGCTTTCCTTGGGCTTCCCATTAAAAACTGCTGGTTTCCCTGCTTCATCCAAATTACAGGAAAGCAGTCAAGCCTTGATCAAAAGAAAAGGATTCATCTACACCGTGTTGAAAGAAAACCAACTCAGAACAGTGGGTTTGCAGTCCTTAAAGCGCTGAGTCCCACCTCTTGCTTTGCTTGAACGACAGCCACCACTTCCCGAAGCCGCAGTTTGATGTCTCTAACGCGTGCCACACGCTTTTCTGTCTTTGTTCCTCAGGGCCGCTGTGACTGAAGCGCGATGTGTTTGATGTTGAAATCACGCAACATTCTGCCAGCATCAGTTAAACGGCGAATCTTGTACGAATAATTCAGTTGGTGTTTAGGAGGGAACTGAACCAGATTTTGTTGATACGTTTATTTTTACACGCCAAGGGGTCCATGTGCGGGAGGGCCCCAGGTAGCTGGGCAGAAATGGAGGCAGCGTGATTTCTACAGGCGGACCCCAGGTCTCCCTCCTTCCTCCTCTTACAGGTGCCACACCACCCAGAAGACCCGGGGTCTCCAGGACGGGGTTAGAGTACCTGCTTCTGGGGCACTTGTCTCAGGAGCAAATCGAGTTCATTGAAGGACCTTCCTTGGGGTCGGCTCACAGGCAGAGTCAGCACCCCCAGTGCAGTGGGAAGTCGGGGAGGGAGGAGGGAGTCTTCCCTAACTAAATGCAAATGATGGGGCCCATTCATTACGAGTCTCTGCAGCTGGATTTCAATGCCTCATCACCCATCTGGAGCAGTAAGGACTTTGATTAGATCTTTTTCCTTAAAAAAAAAAGAAAATCCATGAGTTGCTTGAGGACCTGCAATACTTATTTCATCTATGTATCCCCATGTCTAGAATTATGACCAGCACATAGTAGGTGCTTAGTTAGTCTGCGGACTAGGCGAATGGATGCATTGTAATTCTCCCTATTGTTGCTAGTTGCTTTATACCTGCTTTTGTTTGTTTGTTTCCTTCCCCCTATAGGAGCAGGGGTCATCTCTGTCTGAAGAAGTATTATTTCCCCAGCATCTAGCACAGGGCCTGGCCCCGTGTGAATGCTAGATAGAAACTGGTTGAATGATGGAATGGATGCATGATGACAGCACAGCTGCCAGGCCTTACCAGGGCTGTGCCCAGCCCACTGCCAATTACCCAGGAGCATTGCTCTGGCTGTCGCAGTCTCTCCAGCCCACCCGCCATGGGAGCAGCCCTAACCTGTGACTGCACTGGTATAGAAATACCCTGGGTCTCCTCTGGGATGTTCTATGTGACTCCAGAGTTCCCCAGTGGGACAAAGCTCCCTTTAATCTCAGAGGTAGCTGGCTCGGTAATGTCCCCTTTATCGGCTGCCTCCCCTTGTCTCACGTTCCCACTAAGGTTGTTCTCAGGATCACCCCCCAAATAAACGACTTGCATTTGAATCTTTATCTCAGGCTCTGCTTCTGGGGAAACCCAAACTAAGACAGACAGACGTCTTGTCTCCCAGTGAGGATGGCTCCCCTGGAGAGAGAGTGCACTTCCCCTCCCAACGTTTTATTTAGAAAAATTTCAAACCAAAGAAAAATCGAAAGAATATATACACTTTCGGCCGGTTTCATGAATCAATAAAATTTTCCCACAATTGCTTTATCTCTCCTACTCCCTCTTCCTCTCAACATATATTTATATAAACATTATAATTATATAATGTGTTATATTTTAATTTGATTATATTTAATAATGTATTTGGGACAAATATATATAGAGAGAGACTCTTCAGTGAGAAACATTATAAGATAATTGACTCTCTTATAAAACTCTGATACATTTTATGTAAAAAAATTATTTTATATATATATATTTTTTTTCCTGAACTATCTGAAAGTGAGTTACAGACTTCATGAAATTTAGCCTGTGTCTGCCAGACAAGGGTGTCCTCCTACATAACCGAAAATGCCATGATGACACCCAAGAAACTTACCACTGATGCAATAAGACTCTCTAACATACAGGCCATATTCAGATTTCCCCAGTTGTCCCAATAAAGTCCTTTTTAGCTGTGGGACGGTGTGTCTTTATACCGTACCCCGAGTTCCTCCCCTCCCCGGCCCTAACACAGTGCCCTCTGGACACAGCGAATAGCCGTTAAATTCAGGCCCAAGGAACAGAATGGAATGGATCTCCTAAGACCGGGAGGTGGAGTTTTAGTCATGTGCTTCTGGCAGAGGGACAATATTGCACTAGATTGTGAGGCATCGCAGGGCTCCCTGACTCTGAAGCGAAAGAGCCGAGGGCACACACGAGGTCCCCCCACAATCGCCCCCTTCATGCTTGAAACCCACTTCCCACAGAGGCCTGGGACTGGGAGGGGTGATTCCTCCCTCTGGGCCCACCATGTGTGTGGCTCTCAGTCCAGTTCCTAATATTTGATCGTTCTGGCAATTACCAGAGTTTTGTTTTAATTGCAAGGAAAAGAAAACATAACCCAAAAGGATGGTCCCAGAAATCCAATGACCATCCTTGGTGTTCAGGACTGGCTGTGTAATTTGCAGGGCCCAGCATGAGATGAAAATGTAGGCCCCTTGTTCAAAAATTATTATGAATTTCAAATGGTGACAGCAGAGCGTTAAACCAAGAACAGGGTCCTTCTAAGAGGGACCCTGTGTGATTGCACAGGATACATACCCCTGAAGGCACCTCTGTTGGCATTTGTGTGTAGCCTGGATTCACCGAAGGCCTTGTCAAGCTTAAAGGTTTACACTGAAAGCAGTAAAAATGGACTTGGAGGTCTTGTGGCACACTTGAAGGAATTAAAACCAAAAGACTTAACCCAACCCCAAACTGTCAGAATGATAATACCCTGTGATCTCCTCGGGATAATAGCGTCTTCGGTTCCTATAAAGGCCTCTGCAGGTATCACATATCCACTCTGTCGCCTTGTACCACAGGTCAGGTCTGAGAGGGAGTTCCCGCCTTAGCCCTGCTCATTTACCTACTCATCAGACAAGCTCTCGTGCAGACTGTAAACCCCTCTTCCGTTAGGGCTGGTTTGGCGTTGGGCCATTCCTCTTTCCTGCCCTCCTGTTCCGTTCCACGAGGCCCACTCCTCAGCTCCGCATTGCACAGAATATTGCGAAGCAGCATCAGCAGCATCGGGGCAAGATGAGGTTTTCTGTTCCTCCTCTTTCCTTTCCTCCTCTGATGCAATTCCCAGAAAAGCAGACTTCGGGGAGTTTATGTTTGCATAACAGCGCACCACAGTTTTGTAAAAGACGTGTTTCTCTTGTTTAGCTGTTTCCCTCTGAGGACTCAAAAGGACAGAATTGCTGCCACTATTTCATTGTGGAGCCAGGACCCTGGAGGGGGAGAGCAGCAAGGGGGAGATGCATCATTATGCGGGGATCTTGGCAGGACCGGGAACAGACAGCAGTGGCGGGAGGGGACCCAGGGAGACCAGAGCAATAAGGGTTCCAAAGGCCCACTTTTATGCACCAAAGAATGACTTGCTGGGAAAAATTAATGTTTTGCTTTTCCTCTGGACTCCACATCTACACATCTCATCATAAGACTCCCTTGCTTGTAATAGCCTATATGTAAATTCCCCCCAGACTTGACGGGCACCACTAAGAGGACAAAGCAGAGACCCTTGGTGGCAGCCAAAATAAATGCTATGCCGTGATGGGAATTTGACAGCACATCTGTGAAGGGTTGGAGGCCGGGCACCCTCACGAAGGTGTGCGGTTAAAAAGCAACTGTGAGCTTGTGTCCCAAGTCCCCGTCCTCAGCAGGGAGAGATACAAAGCAGAGATTTCAACAAAAGTCTGGAACAAGTAAACATTGCCAGAGGGAGAAACTCGAAACTTCTTCTTGTCAACAGGAAACGGCTCCCTTTTGGTATGTGGGACCCAGAAGCAGTCAGAAGCAGTGTGTGGAGCCCTGATTTTCTTTTCCTGGGATGTAATAAAAATAGCTATTCTTTGGCTGTAAATAAATGACTCCTCCCCCAACATCATCATCACTATTGAGAGCAGTAAGCAGGACTGAGGGCTGCTGTGAGCCAGGATTCTGCAGGGGTGCATTGTGCGTGTTCCCTATGGAGGGAGATTTCCTCTGTGCTGCCCTTCTCCCTGGGACAAGCAGGAATTTGTCTCCAGAACAGAGAAGAGGAGGCCTCCGGAGATTCGGAGTGAAAAAAAGAGGCCTGGGGCAAAGAGATGTTGTCAGTGGAGCCACAGCAAGACCTCATCAGGCCTATAGACTCTTCATTTCGGAGCCTGTGTCCACCAGTGTTCTTTTCTGGCCACTGGCAGACTTTTACGGTAGCTGGGAGTCCTTTGCCTTGAAAAGCCAGTTGACCTTAGGGAAGGTGGGCAATTAAGCCCGGAGGAGTGAGAGAGTGGGCAAGTTCATAGCTAATGAGTGAGTCATGGCCAAGGTTGCAACAGGAGAGGCTGTACCAGCTCAGAGAGCAACAGCAGAAAGATAACTCCAACCCACCAAAGAGGAGGCACGCCCACCATCTGAAACTCCAACACTGAGAAACCAAACAGCCCTCGGAAGACCCAGAGAGTACACAGGACCAGGGTGCAGGCAGAGAGGAAGGGTGGGGGGAGGCAGGGATGTCACTAAAAGACACAAGCCCAGCCATTAGCTTGAGGATCCCCACACGTGTGATTGTCACAGAAGGTGGAGTCATAGGTTTCTCAAGCACTCACTAGCGCTGTGCTGGGGCGTTAAGGTGGGCTCAAGAAGCAGGCGGAATCTCTGTTCTCCAGGTTCTTATATTCCCGGGACTGTGCAGGGAGGCGAGCCTAACCAATGAGAGTGAGTGCAACAGGAAATCTGCCAGTTATCGCAAACTTAGTGATCCCCATGTGCTGCCCCGAAGAGAGTATGCGTGGAGGGTGCTGGGACAGATCATCAATATTTAAAAATAGTTTAAAATAAAAAAAAAATCATTGAATCCCAATCTCACCTGGATAGAAAAGTCGTGCCGGGTTATCATGCTGTGGGGGCCGAGGGGCCCCGGGAACCATCTGGAAATGCAAGCAGAGCTCATTTTGGGCAAAGACTTCCGCAGTAGCCTGTGGCCTGAGAAGACTCCCCTTCGCTCCCCGGACGGCACCAAGGCCGTGCTCCGGGCTTGATGCTGCGGATGGGCGGGTGCTGGGCCAGGACGGGTGGAGGACGAGGCCCCTAGACTTGGTTACTCATAGTTTTGGTCTGCTTCTTAGGTTTTACCACCTGTGTGTATATCCCCAAGGCCTCTTCCCTCCTTCACCTGGTTTCCGCGGGTAACCAAGCGGAGGCAGATCCCCAAAAATGAGGTTTATGCTCACTGAGACAAAGGAGTGGGAAGACCCGGCCCCTCCTCCACCTGGCGCTGGGATGGCGGTGCAGAGCTTCAGCCTGGCTACTCACAGTGTGGTGAGAAGACCAACAGCATGAGCGTCACCTGGGGATGTCTTAGAAACGCAGGGTCTCAGGCCCACCCCTGACTTGCTGAATCAGAATCTGCATGTTAACCAGATCCCTAAGTGAGACGTGCTGGTTAGAGCACAGGCTCACCACTCGAAAAGACCAGGGGCTCTATGACTGCAGACAAGCCATACAGCCTTTCTGAGCCTCAGTCTTCACATCTGTAAAATAGGCATCGAAGAATAGCATCCATCAGAGAGTCTTGTCTTCGGAGTAAAATAAAACAATCCATGTGCAGCCTTTAACACAGGGAGCCCAGAATAAGTGCCTAGAATATTGTCATTATTAACCAGATTATTACCTCCTGACCACGTGACCTTGGGCCAGTGACATCGTCTTTTTCTGGAGTCCAGCTAAGGGCACTGTCTACTGAGCCCTCGTGTTAAGTTCTTGCTTCAACATACCCCATTTTCCTTGGCTTAATAATTGGTAGAATTACAAAAGGCCAGAGCCAGAAAGAAAGGAAATTTGAGAGTTTCTAGGGAGCCTCTCCTCTCTACTTCCCAGCTGAGAAACTGAGGCCTGGGACTTGCCCTGCCTGGAACCACAGTGCTAAGGACTGGCAGAGCCGGGCGAGCGTGCTTCTGCATGCCCTGTCCAGAAACGATCCCCATGATGAAAACAGCAGCTTTTGTGCTGTGGCAGCGACTTGGTGCCAGACACCAGACTCAAGCTTTATCAACAGACGCTCTCAGAGTTGACTAACATGCCCAAGGCCACAGAGCCGCTGGGGACAAGCAAGGGCGCCGGTGGAATCTGGTTTGTTGACCGCCGCTGTTTCCAGCCGACCCTCCCCTTCCGACCCGTACCCTCCGGGAAAGCTCCCCGCAGGAGAGCAGGCGTGGGTGTGGGCGCTCCAGGGTATCGAAGGTTCTGTGTCTTGCTCTGGGTGGTAGATACAGGAGAATTCATTTTACTGTTGCTCTTTAAACTGTACAAATATGTTTACACACACCTTGTATACAACAAATATTGCACATCCGTACATAACTTAAAAACAAATAGAAAAGAATAGAAGGGGCATGTCGCAGGTGTTCGAGTATACTCCTGGGGTGGTCTCAAGGCAGGAAGCTGGGGGTTTGGGCTTGATATGAAAGCAGGAAAAATTATCCAGGGTTTAGCCCAGGAGCCCCACGGTTAGCCCCTTGACAGGACTTGCGGGGGCAGGGAGGGTGGGCTGAGCGTTTAGAAATGTTTCTAAAACTGGGCCGTGAAGAGAATGATGTGCCTCTCGTGTTCCACAGCCTCAGGTTCAGACAGGTGGCGTAGCTTGTTCTCTTTCACTGGTTTCCCAAGTTGTCAGGGGAACTCTTAATGGTTGTGTTAATGGCAGGGACATTTATGACGGTGGAAATTCAGAAACCACCTAAAAGTCCATGAATAGGGACAAATTGAATAATGTATGGTGCCTCCATATGAGGGCTGGCCACTAAAAGCCATTTGAAAACCAGGACACAGAGATGGTAACAAGGACTTTAGCTATAGCTGTGGCCCTCTGCTGAGGGTGTTCTCCGTGCCAGGCGCTGGCCCCCATTCTGGTAAGTCGTTCTCACAGTGCATCCCCATTCTACAGATGAGGACAGGGAGGTTCAGAGAGGTGGGATTATTGGGTCAACACCCCACAGCTGTGATGTGGAACGATGTTCATGACATCATAAATTTAAAAAGTAGCTTATATATGGGCTGGCCCGGTGGTGTAGCAGTTAAGTTCCCGTGCTCGGCTGTGGTGGCCCCGGGTTCACAGGTTCCAATCCCAGGTGTGGACCTACACAACACTCATCAAGCCACGCTGTGGCAGCATCCCACATAAAATAGAGGAAGACTGGTACAGAAGTTAGCTCAGCAACAATCTTCCTCAAGCAAAATGAAGAAGATTGGCAACAGATATTAGCTCAGGGCCAATCTTCCTCACACACAAAAAAAGAAAAACAAACAAAAATAAATAAATAAATAAAAAGTAGCTTATAACACAGGATGTGTGATATTGTTTGTTTTATACACAAGATCCAATAATAGGGGATTGGTGATGTAAATGACTTCATTTATAAGCCCAACTGATGGACAGCTCTGAGGCCACTGAAAATAAGCCTGTAAATTTCTAATAGTTGACACAGGAGGAGTTCATGACATAGTAAATTAAAAACAAATGAGGCTGGGACTGGCCCGGTGGTGCAGCAGTTAAGTGTGCATATTCCGCTTCAGCGGCCCAGGGGTTTGCTGGTTCGGATCCTAGGTGTGGACATGGCACCGATTGTCCAACCATGCTGTGGTAGGCATCCCACATATAAAGTAGAGGAAGATGGTCATAGATGTTAGCTCAGGGCCAGTCTTCCTCAGCAAAAAGAGGAGGATTGGGGGGCTGGCCCCGTGGCCAAGTGGTTAAGTTCGCACGCTCCGCTGCAGGCAGCCCAGTGTTTCATCAGTTCTAATCCCGGGCGCGGACATGACACTACTCATCGAGCCACGCTGAGGCGGCATCCCACATGCCACAACTAGAAGGACCCACAACTAAGAATATACAGCTATGTACCGGGGGGCTTTGAGGAGAAAAAGGAAAAATTTGAGGAGAAAAAAAAAAAATCTTTAAAAAAAAAGAGGAGGATTGGCAGCAGTTAGCTCAGGGCTAATCTTCCTCAAAAAAAAAAAAAGCTAAGGCAGTATTTTCAGTATAATTCCACTTTGTAAATGCATGTGTGCGTGTAATCAGTGGTTTTAAAGTGAGGGTGATTTTGCGCCTTAGGGGACATATGGCAGTGTCTGAGGCATATTTGGTTATCACAAATATAGAAGCCAGGGAAGCTGCTACACATCCTGCAAGGCACAGGAAAGCCCCATAACAAATAATTATCCTACCCAAAATATCAGTGGTTACATACACACACACACACATACAGTCTTGTGCCGCATAATGATGTTTTAGTCAACAATGGACCACATATACAACCGTGGTCCCCTAAGATTAGTACCATATAGCCTAGGTGTGTAGCAGGCTATACCATCCAGGTTTGTGTGAGTGCTCTCTGTGACGTTCACACAAGGACAGAATTGCCTAACGACGCATGGAAGTGATACGCACACAAACACATCCAGATACATATTCATGCAGAGAGAAAGAAAAAGTCTGGAAGAAATATTTCAGAATGTTGGCGGTCATTATCTCTGGATGTAAGGTGAATTTTTTTCCATGTCTCTCTTTTCCTTTTTTTTCAACAAGGAGCACGATGAAGGGGAGGAGGTGGAATTATACAGAGTTGTCTTCAAAATGGTTCAGCTGAAGACAGGCAGTCGGGGGAAGGGGCTGGGGAGGACAGTCTGCAGGGGATCAAGCCGATGCCGTGTCAAGCCTGGCCTCTTGGGAAGGGTTATCCTGATTCTGAAGCTTGGGTAAAAACCCAGCCCAGGAGAACCTGTGCGGAACTGTCTGAGGGCTGGTGTCCCTGCAGGGGAAGCCCCCCGCGCAGGGAGGTCAGATCCCAGAGCTGGAGGTGACCTCGGCAGGAGGCGTGTGCGCACCAGGGCCGAGGCCGGCTTTGTTGCCGTTATTAATGACCGGGCTCGAATACCCTCACCTGCTCCTCACGCTGTGCGACGGCTCTGCTTGCTCGTTGCCTGTTTACGGACCAGTAACGCTGCAGACCGGGCAGCGGTTCCTGAACCACCTGGGTCACGGCTCCTTACAGGAAATAAAGAGAGAGACAATAGCGTCCCAGCTTAAAACAGAAAGCCTCCAGCAGCTGCTTAGCAACTCTTGTGTAGGCTCCCTCCCAGGGCCGAGGAGCAGACATAAACCATCCCATAAAAAGAGGGCAAGAGGGACCCAGACAATGGCTGGAAACTCACAAGGGCTCCTGGCAAGTTTCCTGAAAGCCCGGGTGAAAACCCAGACAGTGCTCCACAAACGGCCGCCTCCTGGGCCACCTCATAAACTCTGCTCCCCATCCAGGGGGAGCATGTGCCTCTGTGCGGCCACCGACTGCTGTGTTCCAATGCTTGAACCAGACCGCAGGTTCCCAGGGCTAAGGGCCGGTCAGGTGCCCTCCCATCCCATCATCCCTGCTCAGTTCTGGAAGAGATAACAGCTATGCTCAGCTCCTTCTCCATGCACGCTGGAGAAATCTCTTTCCTGCTAGGATTTTCAAATCAGTGTCAAGCATCTGAACTAAATAGATTCCGGGACCTGTGGCTGCGATGGCAAATAGACGTCAAGGCTCGTGCCAACTCTGAGTGATTGGAGGGGGCTGTCTGGAGTGCGGGGTTGACTCTGCCCAGGAGAGTGGGAAGTGAGTTGCGACTGCCCAGCTCTGTGGGTTGCAGGTGTATGCACGGGGAGTTGTGCGCAGTGCTTCTCTGTTCCTGCTTTAGTCCTTGACCAGACTTTCCACCCGGTTATTCCCAATTGATCTGGAATTTCTAATACTGCCATTTCAGTGGGCAATTATTGTCAATTCCAATGGCAGTAATTTTACAGATTACCAGCATCAGAGTAACTTTGGGGACTTGTCAAATGCAGATTCCTGGACCCCAATTACCTTCATTAGAATACTCTGAGGGACTTTTCCAACAATGCCAACTCTGGGCCCCACTCCAGAACTCCTAATATAGAATATCTTGGAGGTGGGTACAGGAATCTTTACCCTTAACAACACCCGCCCCACCCCCACCAGATGGTTCATATGCACACCAAAATCAGAGAACTATAAACCTAGAGAGGTTGTTCCTACCTGGACTTTCATATCTAAGAAAATTCTTAAAATCACTATTCTAGATTGCGTTATGGTGATTTTAAAATATATCCAATATTCTTTAATATCCCTCCCTTAAAAAGGTGGAGCCTAATTCCCCTCCCCTAAGTGTGGGCTGGACTCAGGGACTCACTTATAATGAATAGAAGGTGGAGGATGTGACAGAGTATGACAGGCGAGATTAGGGCACAAAGGCATTGTGGCCTCCTCCTTGCTCTCTTGGATTGTCTGCTTTAAAGGTGGTCAGCTGTCGGGTCATGAGAACACTCAGGTAGTGCTATGGGTAGGCCCATGTGGAGAGAAACTGAAGCCTCCTGCTAACAGCCATGTGAGTGAGCCATCAGGAGGCCCCGGTCAAGCCTTCAGATGACAGCAGCCCCAGCGGACGTCTTGAGTGCAACCTCCTGAGAGACCCTGAGCCAGAAGCACTCAGTTAAGCAGCTCCAAAGCGCCTGACCCACAGAAACTGAGATAATCAATGTGCGTTGTTTGAAGCTGCTAAATTAGGGGATTATTTCTTATGTAGCAATGGATAACTGATGTGCGAGTCAAAACACAGGGCTGCACTATTAACCTAGGAAACCACTCCTGGCAGGGAGAGCCTAACTTGTCCAAGAAGAAGGCTTTACTTGCCTTCAGCCAATCCTCTGCACAGAGCTAGGGGGATTCTGCAGGCAGACTGTCCCCTAAGCCATCTGAGGCCCAGCCAGGCTGCTGTCCTTCCAGGAGGCCCAGAGCTGTGTTTGCCCAGAGGAGTTCTGTTTGCTGCCCCACCAGTGTGTATATGCCCTTTGCCCTGCCTCGCAGTGTGGGTGGTAAGCCCTTCACAAAGCTCACTAAGCCTTGAACACTTGGCCTACCCTCCTCCCCACTCTCATGGCCAGCGGGGCCCCTCCCTACATGCACAGGATGTTTCCCAGTCCCTGAGCACCCGAGCATCCACGTCTGCATGCCTCTGCTCACGCGTTCCCAGGACGCCCTTCCACGCCCTTGGGTCACATCCTCTAGAGCCTTTCTCAGCTTCCCCAAGTGCCTACCGTGCAGTACTGGGGCCCTTCCTCTGCTCCACCAGCACTGTGTACACCCCGGGAATGATGTAAACCTTATCTCACAGTCTAAGTTTTGATTCGGGGGTCTAGTTCTTTTGGAGGAGATTGGTTTGAGCTGGGAAGTACCTGCAAATAGAACTTCTCTTTGTTTCTTCTTCGGGTCTAGCTCAGTGGCTCTCAATGTTAGTGTGCCTAAGATGCCTGTGCAGGGTAATCTATGCAATCTGAACGTATATACAGTTCTGCATTTTATATACAATTGAAGAGCGTGGGGCGACCTTGACTTCCGCGATTTGCACCTTATGCACTTGCAATGTCTCCCATCCTTAGAGGGATTCCATTGTACTCACTCGTCTAGAATCACAGACTGCATGCTGGAAAGAAGCTTTACGATAATCTAGGCCTGTAGTTCTTAGATTTTGGTGTATATCCTCCTTTGATAACATTATGAAGACTATCATGGTATTCTCACTGGAAAACTGAAATTCCTGCTTGAATTCCAGGTTCAACATCCCTATCTAGTTTAAACTCATTTTATAGACGAGGAAAACAAGGCCCAGCAAAGGTAAGCAAACTGGCCAAGACATCACAGCCCTTTGTGGGTCTAGAACTCAGAACTCTTTACTCTTCTGTCCCTGGTTCATCCCCTAGGTGAGGCTGCCTCCCGTAAGCATCCCCAGTCTGTGCCAGTCTAGCCTCTGCTTGGTGATGTCCAGGGAGACAGAATCCTCGCTTCATGACTCTAGCCTGCTTGATATTTCACCCAAGTTTGGACAGTTGAGCAGTATCCCCTGTCCTTGGACCATTTCATCACTCGGAGGGTTCAAATAGTGGGAATGTCAGGGCTTCCCAGTCCTCCTTAGAGGAACAGGTCAGGCCCAGATGTTCTGACCACCAATATGTGGGTTCCAGG